GATGAGCAAAAACATTCGACTTTGCTTGATTACTTATCACCTTTTGACTGAATGTGGGCTACAAAAGGCACAAAGCAATCTTTTTTATGTTTTCCAACTTTTCTAACCTCCTCAGAGCCCTGATAGGTTGTAGTAATGTATGAAAGCTACGATGTTTATTTCAATTATTCAGTTTAACACAAAATACAACATCTATTTAATTTCTTAAGAGGTAAAGAAGGAGGTTAATAATGAAGAAAGACTCCTATAAAATCTCTCTCTCTGTTCTGTCTGTTCATTACTCAGATTGCTTTCAGGTTACATCACAGACATCTGTCATTTTATCTGCTGCAAACTGAAATAGTTGAGAGACAGGGAAACTTGAAACGAACTAAATCTGTATGGAAATTATTTTGTAATATGATGTAATCTCTTTAATTACCATCCAGTATTCATCACAGCAAATTTTCACCGTGTACTGTTGCATCTGACTTATTTCAGCTACAAAGGACTAAATCTCATCACTGCCTGACTCTCTAAAAAAAACTATTTAAAGAGTTAATCACTTTTTTTCAACAAATGCATTCATCCATGCGCACACAAATGCACAGATTTAAAAGTAAATACACATCCCACAGCACATCAATAACATGATAAATGGGAGAAACTTTTTTGCAGAGCTTTTGTTATTTTTTTCATTGATCACGATAAATCATCTTCCAGAGAAACCCAATAAACAGAGTGTTCTCCTGGCAAGAGCTGCTGGACTATATAATATTTCTGGTGGTTAAGAGCCCTTGTAGAAGGACAGGACAAGAAAGCAGATAAATCCTTTCCAGATGTGTTTGGTTAACCAGGCTGCAGTTTTAAATAGCCAATAAAATGCCTAGAATGATGTGTTATACAAGAGTATCATCATCTAGACAACTTAGATGCTGCACATACAACCATTGATAACTGGGTGTGTTGGCTTAATCATATCCCCAGTAGAAACTCTTCAAATCTTCAACTCATTTGGATTTTCTGGCCAACTGATTAATGTAAGCCTGAGATTATCCTTGTTCTTTGAACTTTACTTGGAGGTCAAGTTGTCCTTTGGAAAATGCACACAAGAGTTGAGAAAAAGCATTGCACAAAATGAAAATTCAAGTCGATCCAAGAGATGGTCATATAAAAAACAATCCAACAATCAAACAATCCGACAATCCAACAGAGAAACCAGCATTCTTGAAGCAGATGGGTCACAGATATGGAGGTGAAAGGCAAAACAATCTGTGAAATAAATGACACTAGGAGATCCAGGACAATCAGCCATTTTAATGGTGTAAAATCAAGCTAAATGTCAGCATTCCTGTTTATTAACCATTATAACACCTTGAAAATAGAAGCTGAGATAAATCTTCTTGTAATTAAAACATTTCTGTCACATTAGATATCAACCTCCAATTATTAAACACACTTTCGTTTCAAGGTTCAGGACCATGGACAGCGCAGCATTCTGTGCAGTTCTGTTTATATTTTTACTATTATAACTTTTACAGGCCTTTTTATGGGTTCAGAATAAGAACCTGCTTTCATGGATACTCAATAAATGTTTAGCAGTGTTTCAAGAAATTGCGTCAGAGTTTGAGCCACTGGAGCCACAATAAAGGAAATTAAATGGGAACGACAAATTTAAATATCAGCAAAGCTCTGGCCTGCCTTAACAAAGATGTGCTTTAAGACCAGGGACACTGTCCAATTTTGAAGCCGGTTTTACATCGGCATAGAACAACCAAATTGACCAAAAAATAAGTCTGTCGTCCAAAAGATCTCCTACAAACCTAATTAGAAATCCACAGTTTCTAACATGTCAAAAAGCCATTTGGGAAAAAAGTTTAATCAAGCAAGACAAACATAAAAATATCTGTCCACAATTAAAAGTTCCCAACTGAATTAGTAGTGGAAGAAGCATGCTGTGTATTTGTTCAGCTATCAGTTTTATTGCACACTGCAGACAGTGTGTACAGGGTGTTTATTTTGTCACAAAAACTCACAGCTTTTCTGTCTGCAGTTTCTAGAATTTTTTGTGCTGCTTTTATAAAAAGTTCTGGCTATTTGAAATCAAAATGTAATTGTAACTGTAGGCTCCACTAAACACGAAACAACATATATATATCGATTGATAGACGTGTGGCGCAATAGAAAAGATGGTTGATAAAAGTTCGATATAGAAACAGAGTTTTCCTTCCTTTTCATTGTGGTCTATCTTGTCGGTTGATGCTACAGTCAGCGTTTCCCTCCCAACCAAACACAATCGTAGACCCAGGCACGCCATCACAAAGCGCCATCCTCTTAAATTACAACATAGAGCACGTGAAGATATTGCAGCAGGAGAGGCAGAGGAAATTGTCCCAAAGAAGGGTATTAGAAATTTGCCAGTTTGGCAATTTTCGGTTTATAGAAAGTCAGAAAGAAACCAAACAACATTGATTTGTAAAATTTGCAGGGGACTGGTAAAAAAAAAAAGTCTGGTAACACAACCAACTTGTTTTATCGTCTAAGCCGCTCACACCCGATTGACAACGAGCTGTTGGCCATGGTACGCTCTCATGTCTTCAGAGGAATCTTCAGGAACTTCTGCCAAAATAAAGCAGGCAAAGCAAGCTAAACTGGGCTTTCTTTTTTTTGATAAATACGACTAAGTGTCCAAGCGGCATAAGGACAATTCTCATGCAGTAACACGCTTCATGCAGTTGTCTGCAGTTGAAAAACCTGGCTTCAAACAGCTGCTGGCTTCAAACTTGATCCACGATACAAAGCTCTAGGCTGCCAGGTTTTCCTCAAACTCAGCTCAGAATGAGCTGCAATCGGTGTCTCACAACATTGGACACACATCCAAGCCTCTAAATTTTCTACATAGTCAGAAAATCGAACCTAAGATATATGTTTCTAGAATCTTTTAGTTATTGACATTGATCAATATGCATTTTTTATTGATATGCTTTGTTTCTATATCTTCCAGCCCTATGTGGAATTAAGACCAACTTAGACTAGCTGTGTTGCAAACGTGGAAACTCCCTCTGTGCTTCCCAAAATACAAAAAAAATTTTTTTCGAAAAAAATTATTTTCGAAAGATGTTCTTTTGCTTTGTTTTTGATATTGTTACCTGACCACAGTAATGAACTAAAGGTTCAGCTCAAATTACTTCTCAAACTGACAAAACTTTGAAAAAGTTTTTGGAAAATATTGCTCACATGTACTGAACAAACTGCAATGTGATGTAGCAAATCAACGACATATATTGATATCTTTACAAATGTAAAAATCATAGTTTTTGTTAAGCACCGAAAAGCTCCATCATTTCTATTCTTACCCAGACATGGAAAAACGGTATATAAGGTTTCCATGCATAGGGAGACATTTTATCATCATCTCTACCTTTTGAAGATCTTTGACATGAAAATCTCAGGATCTTTTAAAAGTTGTTGTAGATTTAAAATACTCCAAATCTATATGTTTTGCTTTTAATCGATTTTTTTTTTTTTTTCAAAATCTGTACAATAAGGTTAAAATAGCAGATATTCGTTTTTAATTTACATGTTTATTCTAGCTTTTCCTGTGGTTTGATTTCCTTGTGGAAATCCTCTCCTTTCCCCACTGCCAAGTGCAAAATGATTCACATGCTCATTAACAGCTTTTTGTGTGTCTGCTATGATTCAGTCCATGTAAAGGAGCAGCCAAGCAATTACATGGTTCCATGTAAACAAGCACAAAATTCCCCAATCCATTAACTCACTGTTTCTCTTCAACACCTCACCTTGCCCAATAATGAGACAAAAACTGAAATAAAAAAAAAAATTCTGCATTATAAACTGCAGTTTCCTACTTCAGTTTTAGTAGCACAAATTGATGTAAATTAAATAAATGCATCTTTGCAGATTTCCTATAACCGTCAATGGACCTTTAAATATAAACAGCCTTTGTAAAGCTGGACTATAACCGTGCACTTCTTAGTTTTGTTTAAATTTTAACAGCTCACATGTGCTTTGGGTCATAATCCTGCAGTATAACCAAAGCACTGGTGACGAATTGACAGCTGGAGATTCTCCTTCAGGATTTCCTTGTAGGAAGCAAAAATACAGTTTTTTTTGTTTTTTTTTTATTCATGTACACGGCAAAGCAGTTACAGTACCATATATTTATCACAACCATGTCTAATGGCTGTTACATTATTTGTCTGGATAGTCAGTTTTAAAACGATTCCAACAGGAAGAAAGTGTCAAAGAATGTGATTTTTTCTGGTAAGTCCAAAGAATAATTCCCCCACAATCTTGAAATTCATCAAAATGTGTTTTATGTTGGTCAAAGGTGACAAAATTTGACAGTAGCCCTTTGGATTAAAAATAAGAGGTCACTTAAGATCCTATGTGAGTCAAGGTAGGTGATCAAATAGTTTTGGTAATATGGTGTACATGAAATTTTAATTCTTTCACTTTCTTACCTTCATCCTAATTCTTAATAGAAAATATAAGTGTGACAAAAAAGCATGAGCAGTAAAAGTCTTTACTAATAGTTTTTTTTTATGGTTCCTTAAGTCCATGAATACGGAAGATGTTATCAATTTGCCATCCTGCTCTGAACACACACAGAGAAACACACACAAAGCCAGCTGTTACGAGAGATGCCTCAGGGAATTAAACAGAAATGAAAGGCGAATGAGGGGAATACAAGGAGGAAAAAAAAAAGAAAAAATAAATCAAGGGAGGAGAAAAGCCCGTGTGGTGAAGGGAGATTCTCATCCTCTCTGAAATCATCAGATCCCTCCCTCCCTCTACCTTTCCTTTCATTGCAAGCTTTCTATTTAGCATCTCTGCCCTCCCCTTCTATCAACCCGTTCCAAGCCTGTCTTCTGCCTTCCCATACCTCCTACTTCTTCCTGTTTCCCTCCACTCCCCCTTCACAGCTTTCACTCTTTCGTATTATCCCTCTCTGTATTCCACCTCCCTCGCCCTCTCTCTGTCACTGTCGGAGAGCTGCAGGCAGACGAGGCAGCATGCACTAATGTTGCTATATTTGACAAGACACACACACACCCTCTCCTGCACGCACATATGAGAAACAGGAAGGGGAGAGGAGGGCACCAGAGCTTTAAGACACACTGGATGAGGCTTAGAGCTGAAATCACAAACATAGCGACACACAGAGAGGGGTAATGCATGACGCCAGCAAAGCAGCCCTGTTTTGCTTTCCATCTCTCTCTTTCTCTCCCAGACACACGCTCACGCCTCTCACACACACCGCAGCACACGAGCCAGGGAGCAGGACAGCGTTGGACGTATCATTCATACATAGAAAACATCAGAAGGAAAGGATTAACTCTCTCCAGCCTTCCCGCTCTAAGGATCTATCCCCTATCCTTCATTCTTCTAAGCCCATCTTTACCTTTTTCCTACAATCCCTTTTTTTTTTCAAAGAAAAATTCTCCTTATGCAGAATTCATCTGTTGGCTGAGACAAACAGGCTGATCTCAATCTTGAGTGAATGGTTTCCTTGAACTGAAGCGTTGACAGTTTTTCCTTCAATGTTTTGTCCTGGGGGAATTTTTTTGACGTTTTTTTCATCTAAACAATATCTGTGGATGAATGGCTGAAAGCAGCAGGCTGTAAGCTGTGTCGACTGAGGTATCTGGTGAAAAGGTAAGTCTGGAGATGGTGTTAGTAATGTTTGCCACACTTAAAAACCCAAATAATCTTAAAATGCCTGCAGCTCATTGTAAGTGTTGACTTTATGTCAACCCTGACAAAGAGAATCACACTATCTAGTCATTTTTCACTCCAGCAAACCAGTGGAGGCTACACAATTCCTAAACAGGTGAACATTGGGGGGCTCTGCAGAAATTAATTAAAAATACCACAACAATTACCATAAAAAAATATATATATTATTTCCATTTAAATAATCTTCCATAAAGCAATAATAGGGTTCCTGCAAAATTGTTCTATTGTGTGATAAAGTCCAGGTGTAGACCTGTAAGACTGAGCCTAGCTATGGTTGATATGATGCAAGTACCTCTTGAACGGTCATGACTGATATAAAAATACCAGAAAACCAACCACAGCTCCTGTCCACCTCTGCCTCTAAAGTAAAACTCATCCACTTGCTGTGTCATGTTTTCTACAGCACCTAAAACTGCAGCAATATTGTGACGTTACTGCTGCAAATAGGAGTAAATTTGTTTTTTGAACTACTGCATACTGCAATGTAAACAGTATAAACCTATGTCTTTTTCTTACAATATTTTTATGCAACATTGACAGTAACACCTGTTGACATTTAACATATTCCAGCATGTGCTATTTTGGTCTAACCTCCACTTTACCTCATGTATTTATAATCCATTTAAAGCGATTTGATTGATGCTAATAAATGATGCCGATTCTTAGTCTGAAGCTGTAGTGCTGCAGTTTTTTTACTGGCTCTCAACACTTATCAACCCTAATGGTTCTCCAGAATGTGTGATGTAAAAGTGATTAACTCTGTGGAGCTGCATTGTAATTATATGATGATGCTGTGACTGTGAGGCCTCGCCTATCTACTGTAATGTCCCCAAGGTTTTTGTGTCTCTCTATCTTTTGTCTGACTCTCTGTCAAGTGACAAACACATCCTGACATCATTCCAAGAGAAAACAATTAAGATTGCCGAGTGATTATATGGGTGGTGCAGTAATTTGGCATGTCTAATGAGCAACAAGGCTGCCACTTTGAACCGACCCGATGGCTTCAGTGAAAACATCCATAAATTTTTGCAAGCATTTAATCGGGAATCGATTTAACAACGTTTAAAGCAATAAACCAGTAGTAATTTTGCTCCCACTGACTGCATCTGGAAGAAAAACTGCTTGTATTAAAAAACCCACATATGGTGCTTTAGAAACATCCTCATCCCCTTTAAACTTTTATATTTTGACACTAAACCCAAATTTGCGATTGAATGTAACAAACAGGAGCAAAGTAGTGCCTTATTGTAAGTGGAAGAAAAATGATAAATAGTTGAATAAAAAACCAACCGCAAATAAATACCTGAAAAGTGTGGCATGTAACACAGAAAAAATACCTTCTACTCGAGTTACATCTGCAACTTTTCTTATAATCTTGGATCTAAACCGTAGCATTTTAAATCTGGTTGGATGTTTATATTTCTGTTAAGTCATTTGCTTAAGGCTGATAAAACGCATCCCCACAGCATAATGCCACTACCTCCATGTTTTACCATGATATGGCGTGCTCAAGATAATCTACCTTGTTAGAACAGAACAATGTGAGATGTTTAAAGCTTTGGACGTGCCTTGATAACATCACCACTATTTAATCAGTAATCGATCTTTAATGGTTCTTGGTTTTATGATACTGTTTGTTATTGAATGAGCTGAATGCTATACTTAAATCAAATCACACACACAGGAGGACAACATTTACTAATTAGAGGGTTTATTTTACTAATTAAATTCTGTATATGTTCATCAGAAGGTATTTATCATTTAGTTAATTTGGTATCCATGGTATTTTGGATTTGAGTCCCTCCACGTCTTGTATTGTGACTGCCCCAACTACAGAGAGTGTTCTGCGCTGCACAGCAGATGGGCTCCACAGCGCTATGTGCCAGAGTGGCGGTGCAGAGGTTTTAAAAAAAAAAAAAAAAAGATCGATATTATGTTGTCCAGGTAAAAATCACGATATATCGCTAAATCAATATTTCCCCACACCCCTAGTAAACACGTTGGCCACGTTGACATTGACCAGCCAATGCACTGGCTTGTATTCAGGAGTAACTGAGTAAATGGGGTAAAAATAAAAATGCACAAATACTCTCAGAATCTTACTTATAAAACCCTTTGAAATGCATTAAGAATTTTCCTCCATTCAGAGAGTGTTCACTACTTTGCTTTGATCAGATACAGTCTTTTTTAAATACATAAAAAATTTGGTTGGAATATGTCTAGATTGCGAAAAGTTTCAAGTCGCTTGTCGTCTGTGTTAAACAATGCAGCTTTTAAAGCATGGTATGTCTAAGTTCGCATTAAAGAAATAGTATAAAAAAGGCTTAACATATTGCAGCCATTTACAAGTCTGCTAGTCATGGTTGGTGGTAAAACCACGTGCATATTTTTGCAGCATGTTTCTGGCCAGACGTCAATGACTGCATTTGTCACTATACTAGCATGTGTTGAGCAGTGCATGTTTGTTTGGGAGTGTGAACGTCTCTCAGGTCTCCTGTGTAAGAAATACATTAAAAATTGATTTAGGACGCTTGGCTGCACCTTGTTAGCAACTATTGTTGTAGAACACAGCAGGACAGGAATTAACGAGCATGTTTTGACATAACTAGATCACAAAATCTATAGCTTTTAGAGCATTTATAAAGTGAGTTATAGGTATAGCTCAAAGTAGAGGATTTGAAACACTTATTTTTAAAGCTGCTCACCCTGGGGAACCAGCTTGGCACATCCACACAAAGATTCTTCAACACCCAGATAAATATCCCCTTTTGCTTATTTGGAGGAATACTGTATAGGCTGGAATTCCAGTCACCCAGATTAAACTCTGAGTCAGGCCACATACAGTATACAAATCTGAATAAAGATGAACAAAGGATAGAATTAGGCTTTAACATGCATATCTGACAGATATGCATGCGGTATAAATAACAAGCATGGACAAATCCTTCTGTGCAGAAGGATTATAGACGTTATATGACACAAGAGAGGTGTCACAATTACATGGCACTATTTCACCATGTTTTTATACACCAACTCGCATGAAGGCCATATTTAACAGAGGGAAACAATATGAGAAACTTAAAACAGGATAGAGAGTGGAGGTGTTACTTGATTCCCCAACATGCCAGCGCCATCCCGTGTATTTACAGAGTGTGTAAACTAAAAACGTCCATGTGTAGATTTTGGCTGCCCTCGTGTTCAGGTCAAATGGATTAAAAAAAGCTTTCTGAGAAGCGTCTGGCTCACCACCACAATACCCATTTATTTTGATAGGAGCTGATGGGCAAACAGGGTTACATGACTGCTAACCTGAAACTGGGGCTGTTCTTAAAACTGAATTTGAATTTTATTTTTCTTTTCAGCTTTGCATTTTGTAATACATAGTTAAATGATTTGGCAACATTATAACGTGCATGCTTTGCTTTGGGTATTATAAATGTGATGACTAAATTCATTATTATAATTTTATTTATATATTATCATTATGAAAGTTGACTTTGTATTTAAGCATCAACCATTATAAATAAAGTGATGATTTGTTTTCCATATGTAACCACAGAAAAGCACAGAAATAATTCATTATATTATATTATATTTAAAATGCAAAAAAAAAAAAAACATTTATAGATTTATAGCACCAAAGATGGTTCAAATTTCACTGCAAGATCTTATAATGTTAAAATTGCATAAAATATTTCCCATAGTTTATTTTGGAATTACAGCATATGATTCTGGCATTTCAGTAACTAACATTTTGCACTGTAGAACCAATTGTAAAAAGGTATATTTGATGTTCACCAATGGGAATAAAACCCTATGGAGGAAGAAAAAAATAATGTATTGAATAATGATTCAAAGTAAAAACGCAATGTTTGTTAGTTCTTTGCCTATTTACTGTATGACGCACTGCCCATCGACAAAAATTAATCACAATATTTTTTGAGGAAGATATTAATTAAAAATGCTTCCTTTTCACAGCATTTGCTGAAATTTGATCTAATTGGATATAAATAAACAACCGCAAGTAGGACTGAACAATTAGCTATGAATTAGACCCTTTTGTCTTGTCAATTAACTGGAATGACACCTGGCTGAAATTAGTGGAAAATAGATACATTCAATTCTAGATACATTCAATTCTAATTATTTCAATTTGGTTACTTTCCTTTTTTATGTTGCATTAGCATTAGAATAAACAGTGATCCCATCTCTGAAATAGGAAAAAGATTCTTTATTTGAACCAGGAAATCTTTTTTCATTTCTTTCCATGCTTGATGATAACCTGAGTGTTTGGTGTTGACAGTTCAGTGCTCTCTATGCAGTCTACAAATTCCCTCCTATGGCAAAATTATTTTATACTGGATTAGACTTCTAAAATTTTCATAGCTTTCAACATGGAAATATGAGTGTTACTTCATCCTTGCAAACTGAGCGCCTGCATGGTGTAGTTTGCCATATTATAATCTAGGCTTTGTTGTAAAAAAATAAAATAAAATAATATAACTATATATATATATATATATATATATATATATATATATATATATAATCTACTTCAATTTCTCACAGAATTGAGAAAACTACATAGTTAAATGTTTTAGCTATTAGTGGCACCCTGGATAAGGATGAAATCAAATAAAATATATTACAGCCTTAGATTCATTAAAGGGTTATGAAGCATTATCTACATTAGGCACCAATGAAATATCACACCAATTGCGGTGTGAAAACACCTCGCTTCCAATTAAACTGATTTTATCTAAACACACAGCTATTTTTTTTTTATAATTCACATTAAGTACCCGGAAAAGTTTACTCAGCATGTAGAAGGACTAGATGGGTGCATTTAACTTAAGAGCAAAAAAGTGGCAGCATGAAATCTGATAATCATTGTTTTAGTTCTAAAACAGCTTTTTCACTAAACATTCATGGTTTTAATAAATATACTTAAAGACTGTTGGAACCCAGCCAACATAACATAAAACAGTAAACAAATAGGATATTGTGTCACTGCTATTTAAGTAAGGAAATAAAAAAAATCTATCTGAAAACATATCCTATTATTCAGAACATCCTTTTTTGTATTTGTACCTGGGTTAATACCATCTTCCACTTAATTCCTTTAGCCATCCATCCATCCATCCATCCATCCATCCATCCATCCATCCATCCATCCATCCATCCATCCATCCATCCATCCATCCATCCCATGCCTTGTTGTAAACAGTTTCATACTCATGTAGCCACTGCTGATAATGGGAACATACAAAGCGTATTGAGTTAGCTATTGCTATTTTTTTTTATAGTCATTTGATGAAAGATGTGCATGTATGCGTACATAATTTTAATTTTAGTTAATCTTGACTAAATTTAACAAATATTCTGCTGTAACCCAGGAATGTAAAGAACCATTTCTACTCAGTGCAACACAGAAAGGCAACTGCTGCAGCATAGCTGCCTCCCCAGAGGTCAGCTGCAGAAACTCAATATTGGTTTTCTTTTATAAACTGAGAATTGCTGCTTTATCTAATCTTTCTACCTCTTCATAATTGTACCTGCATCTAGCAAACGGTGGGTCCTATAGGATCTGCAGTCAGAATCAGGAACAGAATCAGAAGACCTCAGACCAACAAGGAGGATATTTATTCTATAGTTCCATTTATGTATTTCAGATTAATCAGTTGATGGAATAAATCCGAAATCACTTGAAAGTATCTTCCAAAGCAAGCCCTGCAGAGGACATTTTAATTTCCACTAATTAGATCAGGGCTTCAACAATTCTTATGGGGTCTAGCTACAAACACATTTTACGTAGCACATTACTCAGTAAACCCAAGCAGCCTCCAACAAAGATGCTTTTCTGCATTAAAAAAAACAGTAAATTTTTCTAACTTGCTCCTTGTCAATGCTACTGTGCTCGTTTACAAAGAATAATTTGAATTTCCCAGCAGAGTTCAGCTAATCTGGCTTTAATTGCGTACAGGAAATCCATCTGCAGAGCTTCCTTAATTCATGCCTCTGTTGCTTTGTTGGGAAAAGAGATTCAGAATGAGAACTAGAATGAGCAAGAACATAAAGAAAGGGAAAAGAAAGCTGAAGGTTCAACAGATTGGATAAATATGAAAGCCTAAATATTGGCTGGTGTCTGATGGCTACCATTAACTGTAAAAGTTTGCCTCATTCAACAATCCACATCTACATAAACATGGACTGAATAACTTGAGTGACTAAGGCCTGCTTGTTTATGCCCTTGCACTTATTTATACTTCCATCTCTCCTTATGGGATTTCCTGCCTTGTCTTATTTTCCCAAATCCTATCATCACTCCGTTTTTTTTCTACGCCTCCTTTCGTCAGCTCTCTGACATCACTTATCCTTCATCACTCTCCTCTCCTTCCATTTCCATATTTTACCAGCTTCAAATGACCTGCTGACACTCCTGACAAATTGATGAATGTTACTCATGGGAGACTGGTTGACAGGCTGTACTCTCACTGACCTCCTGTTAACCTTGATAGCCAAACCGTTTCTTTCACACATAATTCTGGTTTCTATCAGGCTCTTTAATGAAGTGCAGGTAGAGATTTACATCATTAGGATGCAAAGGATGAACCTCTAATAAACCTTCAACTCTAGTTGAATCCAAGGCAAAATGAGCTACAATTAAAAAGCAAAGGCTTTCAAGTTTTAATCTGATTAGTGCCACACTTCACATGCAGCTCAATGTTTGGATGATATTTTGGGAAAAGATTATGTTTCCAAATTGCACTAATGGCCCAGAGGCTGCATTTCATGAAGACAAAGCTGTTTTTTCTCTCCTCAGTCGCAATTAATAAGGAAAATCCATATTTGGTTTAGTAAAATATTTTATCATCATGACATCAGCATTCCCTAGAAATGCAAATAGGAAATTAGGAACTAAAAGTTAACCGTGATATTATATGGATTTTACTGTTACATTTTAAGTAATGATAAAATGTAATTCAAGTTTTTCTTTCTATTTTGGATATATTACCAATTAATAATGGGTGAAATTCTGCCTTTTGAACTTTTTTTTTATGATTTAGCTATATGTTTCAAAATTTTATAAACCAGTTAAAGTTGATTTTGACATATTTTTAATTATTAAAGATGAAATTCTTAAAAATATTTAGAACCAACAGAAGTTCACATCACTTTCGATCATCCATTATGATTAATACTTTGCATGAATTCTTTTTCTTTATGCTGCTCCTTTCCCTTTTGTCCCTTAAAACAGCAAAGCTTAATCTTTGTCTAATATGATCAGAACTCAAAAATAAAAAAACATTTGGAGTTTAGCTTCTGATCAGGAAAAGAGTTAAAGCCTCTCCTCACTGCAGTCTCTACTAATGACTTTTTTCTTAACATCTCTTATTATTCTGTTCACTGTATTTTCTGGCATTTTAACCTGGATCCATGTTCAGCCTGGTGCCCAGAGGCACAAAGAAATTGACCTCTGTCATGCCATCGTTATACCCCAGGGTAATGGAGTTTTGGATTAATTATTAGAAGTTACAAGAAGCTTTGTGCTTCAAAAGTCAACTTTTATATAAAAATAAAAACCCTCCAATGACATTTAATGTACAAAGATCAGTAGAGGTGCCAGGAGCCACTGATTATTTTGTTAAAACAATTAATCCTTAATGTGGGAGTCATTTCCTGACTGATTATATAGACTTGGATTGAGTGGATGTTCATTAATTAACTTGTCAGGAGGAGATTATGCAACTGCAATGTAAGATGAATCTATTTTAGAGATAAAACCTACCAGAGGGGGTCCATACATCTACCCTGACTTGTATGTAAAATCCTATTTGTTCATATTTCCTTCGGTGTCCATGTTTCTGTTCCCTCATTTCCTCAGTCATTCCCAGACAGCAGCACTTCTTGTTCTGTCTGTGTTGAGGCTAATTGATTGCATACCCCTAAAAGACATTTATTATTCAGGCCCCAACATTTCTGGTGGCTCCCTTTCTCAGCCTTGCATGCACATCCACCTTCACACACACAAGGACGGCAAGTAAACACTCTCAAAGCTGTGATTGTTTATGCACACTCACCCCTGCTGGTTTTTAAAGATTCATGGATCAAAGTGTGTGTGACACAGCACTAAATTTGATATGGTCTGGGTTTAGGATGTCTTAGGATAGAGTGTCCTTGTATTTTATCTACCTGTTCAGGTAATTTGCTGCCATTTCTTTTTCAGTTGCTGTGCATGCAGAGGCTGCAGGCATGACGGCCTGATGCCATCATAGCGACACTCCTCTTGCAGAGGAAGGCCACAGACTTCTCTGTCATGCCCCCTTACATCCACCCCCCTGGGGGCACTGGCCTGCCCCCACCTATTGCTACCATCAACTTGAACAGATATGGTAAGTTCATAGACATATGTTGCTTCAATCCAACTTAACTCTTCTCTTAACTCTGCATGGAAGCAGGAATTGCCTGTTCAGGCAGCATGCTCAGCTTGAACGGACTCACACATACACACAAAGAAAAAAGATGAAGGCGCTGAAGGCGCGTGCCAAGTCTGTTGGCGAAATCCCAAATGGCTGTGTGTTTTAGTCAGGGCAGAAGTTTGTAGAAACAAAACTCAGCAGTGGGTGGAAGATAAAGATGGATCTGCAAAGTTTTTTTCCCTTTTTATTTTTCCTCTCTGGTGAATTTTAAAGCTGCAGGACAGCCACTGTTCCTCCTTTCCATTACTCATCTTGTCTTTCTGAGGTTTAACCTTCAGGGTTAGTTTAGAAAAGAATAAACAGCCGCTGCATTTTTGTGGTACGACTGTGACATAATCAGCCTCATGCGTCAGCGTTAAAGTTCCCGTCCTAAGCCCTTGACACCGACTTAACCTTCACAGCTTGTCTTCACTTGGACATCCCATCTCAGCCTCAAGTGTAACTTTACTAGCTGTTTCCGTAAACACTTAATTTAGATCACATATATTTCACAATACATATATTTTTTATTCCTTCAATAATAGTACCTCACAATATTATTCAAATCCTTTCTTTCTACATTTTTTTCATGTTAAAAACATAAAATTAAATGTTCTTTTATTAAGATTCTATGTAAAACACCAATGCAAAGTAACACAGATCTTAAAGTGGAAAACATAATGGATCGAATTCAATTTTTTTTAAATACAAAAAAATCTACAATTTGTGGATTTACATTTAGGTCCCCTTTACTATAGCATAAACTTTTGTCAATCGGCTTTATACGTCACCTAATAACCATTTAATTGGCTGTATGTAATTAAATGCAAGTATAAATGCAGCTGTTCTGTGATGGCCTTAAATGTTTGGTGAAAAAGAAGCACCATCACGACCAAGTTGGTTAGCAGATGGAGGTTATAACGGGGCCCCTCAGTTACGGTCCTCAAGGGCCAGTTTCCTGTACCTTTTTGATGTGTTTCTGCTTCTGTACACCTGAGTCAAATAATCATATTATTAGCAGAACTCTGGAGAACTTGGATGCATCCTAAGAAGATAATCAAAACATTTGACTCTGGTTTGGAAGCAGAGACATCTGAAATGTACAGGACACTGGACCACCACAAAACTGAGGATGCATGTTACAGAACAATATCCTAAGAGCCTGTATGAGGGTTCCTCAATTTAGGTCCTCAGGATTTGGTGTCCTGCGACTTTTAGATGAGTCTCTGCCTCCACACCTGAATCAAATGGCTGAATTATCTTCCTCAGTTGCAGTCCGGTTCTCCAGAGTCATGCTATTTGACTCAGGTGTCTTGAAACAGAGACGGAACTAAAAAGGTGAAGGACTCCGTTCCTTGAGGACCAATATTGAGGAACCTTGGCCTAAATATTAAGTATTCAAGGAAGCAGCTATGTAGAAAGCTGCAAAAGATTTAATATTGGGAGCAGAAGCTTTACAGAAATCAAATTCATCTGATTGTACAGATAATAATCTGATTAAATAGTCACAATGAAGCCATTATTTAATTGATTACGTCAGGAGGTTAAAAAAAGAATGCTATCAAACTAAATCTAGATCACTATAGTCATTGAGTTGTCAACAATTACACCTCATGAGTGAGAATTTTGCAACAGTGGAAAAATAACTTTCTTTTAATGTGTAGAGGAACTAGGTAGTTATGGGTGACCACCTGCCTCAACCAACAGGGGTTTTAGAAGATTGATTTGCTAGAGAAAAAAATAAGAAAAAAAATTAAGCCGTGGTTCAGAGGCAAGTTTTATGTTAAATGTTTAAATCAAAGTATGAATATGTGGATCTCTGTAAAGACTTAAAAATAGACTACTCCTATCCAGTCGGACTTATCTAGAGATTTAGAAATGAAACGGGAACAGAAAAAAAATTCTAGTCTTCAAATTTCAAAAGCTGATATTATAAAACTGTTTTATAAAACCTATATAATAATAAAAAAGTTTGCAGTTGTAACATGATACATTTTAAAAAAGGGTGTGAAGCTAACTATTTTTATTTATCTATTTGTCTTTCTATAATATTCTATCAGATCTTAATTTTTATTCCTTTACTTTTTTGCAGATTAAAGAGTATGGTTCAAAAATTCTGCTGAGAAGGTTTTATTTTAATAATAGGGCAACACCGGCCTTTTTACAGCTGAAACAATTACATATACAAACCTGCGCTGATCTGTCTGTACAAAGCTCATCCAAAAGAAGAAAAAAACAGTAATGAACTAAGATTTAGCTGTTAAAGTGGTGCTGCACACTTAATAACAGGGCAACCACTATCAATCAGAATCTCTACATCACACATGCACCTCATAGGAGGATGCTGGGAAAGAAAAAAATGTTTTATAATAGGAACTTCTGAGAAACGATCAAGAAAATGTGCTTCCCTGTAGTGCTTTCAGTGTCTTTGAAGCAAGACTGAACTTCTAAGCTCTCATCTACCGCTTTTAGATATCGATCAATAAAAGCGTCATACAAGCAATAATTCCCAGCATAAGAGGTACTTTTTATACATAAATTATCCTTTTAAAAATCATCATATATGTATATATTATTCTCTTATTCTGAAATCATTAACATTGTCCTTGTAGAGAGACCATTTGAAACTTCCCTTTGACACACGTGCTGAATTATAGAACAAATAATCTGAAATAAATGTTCAATGAAGATTTTGGAGAGGCTGAACAAGAGTCCCAAGCTGAATCTATAGATTGAACGGAGAAAAAAAACTAAATTAAAAACTACAATTGTTGGCAAGGAAACTTTCAAACCTTAACGATGCTAAATAATGAGAAAGTTAGTGAAAGTTAAATACTAAAGAATACCCTCCAGAGTAAAGTGTAAAAGCAAACCAGAGGAAGACAATAGAAAGTATTAGTGACAAACAAACAGTGGGGGATGGAGAGATGAACTCTGGAGATTTAAGATCAAAGACAAGAAAGAGAGATGGAAGGATGAAGGAGAGGCGTAGAGCGATGAGAACAGATGAGTTTAGAAAGGACAGGGAGACCATATGGTGCCTTTAGGCTTTAACAATCCCAGCAGAGAGCATCAACACACAATTGTACACACAAAGAAAGAACTAATTTTAATCCACATGCTTGAACATACACAATATCTGTGTGGATGTTTGTTTTTGGACACTCTTAAAAGCCCCAAACAGAGCCCAATAGCACACTGCTTTTAGTAGAAACAGTGAGATAGACTGACGTTGACTGAGTGAAAGTGGTTCGGATTTGGCTTTCAACCAGCAAATAATGCAGCCCGGGTTTCAGTACTTGGTTTGGAAAAAACACCAAATAATGAGAGCATTAAGCTAAGTGCATTCATAATGTGGTTTAGTGGATAAAAGAGTAGAATAACAATTAAAACAGGAAGACTACAGAAAAATGGGTTGTATCACAGATGGTAAACAATGTTAACTGGTTGTTAAACCAGCAATATAACACTGTTTTTCATTTTAAACTGCTGGTTTGAGTGCAGGGTTCTTTCAACAACCACTATATTAAGCAGACAAGCCTATCTGTTATAATAAATTCCAAAAAACAGCGTGAAATGGAGAGGGACGCAAGTCTCTGCCCCCCAGCCACCGCTAAAAGCCAAAATATTAATGCCGTCTCACAGGTGTAGGATCCATCAAAGGTCTACTTGACAAAGAGGGGATTAAAGAAGATATATGCATTATAAAAAGAAGAGAAGGAAGAGGAAGCAATGAAGGGAGTAGAAGGATAAGACAAAAATATGTACTTAACCGCTTTGAGAGAAAAAATAAAATGTACAAAAACTAGCTCTTATGTGTTCTTTCCTCTCATCACAACAGCAGAAGTAGAAATTAAACCCCAAACACCCTGTCCCTGTTTATACTTAGAACCTGTTTGTTTGTGTGTGTGAGACAGTAATGTCCTTGGATAAGCAATTATGCACCTATTTTAAAAAGTGAGTCAGGAGGAACAGTTCATCATATGATGGAAAACACGTAATGTGAATTTAATAGTCGGGTGTGAAGCCAAATTAGTTTCTCTTTTTTGTGCCTTCTGTCTGTATTTACTCTTATGTTACCACAGGTAAGGCTTGGTTGGTAGTTGTCTGGTTTTAATGCAACATTACCTAAAATAACTTAGATGTTACTCCAAAACCCTGGCTCTCTAAAGTCTGCTGTTTTAATGAGAACTTGGGTTTTAGTAATAATTAGACATGATCTTGCTTCAGATTAACTGTATTGAGGAGCTAAAACGTCATTATTACACATCCGTCTCTGATTCTTATTTGTACATATTATATACATTTTAGTCAGATGTAATCTTTATTAAGCACCATGTTTTATGAACAATCAGTAGGAAAAGCAGAGTTCTTCAAGATTTTGTAATTTTATAGTCCTCTAGAACAGAGTCCCTCCATTCCAGAGCTGGAGGTCCGGTGTCCTGCGCCTTTTATATACGTTTCTGCTTCAACACCATCCCTCCAACCATCTATCTATTTTCTTTTGCTTTATTCTGGGAAGGGTCGCGAAGGTAGCAGTCTAATCAGAGATGCCAAGACTTCCGGATCCACACACCTCCTCCAGCTGCTCTGGAGAGACCCCAAGCAGACACCAGGCCAGCTCAGAGATAGAGGGTGCGTTTGATTTTAAAAGCTGCCTCCTCCAAGGACCCGGTTCATCTGGACTGGATCCTTCGATGATCATGAAAATAAGGAGACCGGAAACATTTCGGCTGTGAATTCAAATAGGTCTAGCCTTCCTTTCATCGCCCATATGTTCTGTCACCTAGCAACCGTGAAATTTGACACACAAAGCAGGAAAAGAATGAATACCAAACTTTTTAAAACTGTTTCTTTTTAAAAATGTTTTCTTTTTTTTTGTGTAAAGTGAAAAAAGACTACACTACTGAGAATACAGAGTGGAATAAAGGAGACAACCACCGGGTACATGAAAAAAATAAATAAAAGCCAATGATTTAAAAGGGGTAGAAAGATATAAGCGACCGCATTACTGCCGACACCGCACTGATGCATCTATCGATCTCACGCTCCATTTGTCCCTCACTCATGCTTCAACGCACCTGAGCAAAATAATCAGGTCACTAGCAAGACTCTGCAGAACTTTACTGCTTCCTGGGGAGGTAATTCAACAATTTGATTCAGGTGTGGAGGCAGACCACCTGTGGACCAATAGAGCAATCCAGCTCTAGAAAATGCAGTGCAGCATGTTCCCCAACTAATGAACACAGTTCTCCTGTATGTAATCTAATCTCACTATTAATCCAGCTGTTGTGAAAAAGCTTCAAAGGACAGAGAACACAAGTAAAGACAGCATCATGGAGACGGAGGAAATCACCAAACAGATGACAGATAGTTTTCAGGAAGCTGACAGTAGGGTAACATTAAAAAAATATTTTCAAAACCATAACCGATGTGAAAGAGCAATGCTAAACCTGGTATTGTAGGATAAAAAGAGAAAAAAACAGTTGACAAAATACCAAGATATAGACAGAGCTTCAGTACAATTAAAGCAAAGACACCCCAGATTAATGACAACTGTAACCAGAGTGAAAGATTGTTCTATACAGTATTGACTTATGGGGGTAAACCCTGTTTTTAATTTATTACATTTTACAAATCTGAACTACTTTGTGTTGCATAAAATCTCCTAATATAGACTCTCAATTTGGCTGTTATAAAGAAACAATATAATAAAACACAAAATATTAAGTTAACAGTTCTACAAAGCATTGCATAATCATTTAAATTCCTCTAATCATTAACACAAAGCCCTGTTTGATCTCCTTTCACTGCTATCTGTATATTAACATATTACAACACATTTAAATCTTGTCACTTGTTAAATAAATTAACTACATGCAGAGTATCCATAGCTCTGTGCTCGCTAGAAATAAGACTTTAAAAGTGAACAGTTTTTTATAGTGTTAAATTAACCATCACGTTAAGGAAAAAAAAGATTTACTAAAATAAGAATCAAGTTGTAATGTGAGAAAAGCTTTTGAATCATACAAGGACCCAGAGCAATAAGTTGGGTATTTTACCAAGCACTGTGAGCCACTGTAAACAGTAAGGCACTCAGACTTCGAGCACAATGTGAAACACTGAAGAGGGAAGAAATACAGACCAGTGAGTCCTCTGTGGTGAGGACAGCTGGTCATCCCAGTAACAAGATAGCAGCAAGTCTACCACTTACATGGAAAACAGCTTGTGCCTTGGTAACATGCAACTGGGCTCAGTAACAGAAGTGCCTGTGGTGGTGACATCATAGCTGGGTCCAGTGTCACCCAGAGGCCCCTGGATATAAACTTACAGACAGATGAAGCCATGAAGGTGTCAAGAGGGCACTGCCAATGAGACACCATCAAATAATATTCAGTCTGCTGTAAAAACCAACATCAGGGGCTAAACATAAAAAATAACAGTGCAGGATTTAACCAAGGGGAACAAGTTTTGCAACAATGGTACATGAATATTTATTATATAGATTTAGCCCATACACACCAACAGTGCCATAACTGGAGACACATCAGACCTGGACATATTTACCACCATCTACAAATCAAAATTAAAGGGAAATGTAAAAAAAAATAAATACATAAAATAACGCTAAAGAATACAACTTCAAACTAATAAGAAAAAAACAAAACCTGATATGAATCATGAAACAAATGCTGATAAAATCAATGCGACAAAATCTGCTGCAGATCAGATTTTCTCTCTTTTCTCTTGAATTTAGAGTGTTTTTGTTTTTTTTCTCACACCTTGAGGATAGTTCTCACATGCACGCACAGCTGCACGAGTGAATTCCCACTCACACATGAACTGAGAGATAAAAGTCGTGCCGATAAGCCATAGGCTGGAAACAAAGTCAACCAGTGTAACGAGACACTGAGGGAATACAGAGCAGTGCTGAGAGGCTTGAAGTGAAGGGGGATAAGAGAGATAAAGAGAGACTGTTGGGAGAAAAATACACAAATGAAGACAGCAAGTCAGATTTAACTTTATGCAAACAGAGGGTAAAAAAAAATATTCTGGCATATATTTATACTAGAAAATAAAGTCAGAAGAGAGGAAATAAGCAAAAATTAGAGAAGATTCCAAAACAAAGAGGTAAAATGCAATAGAAAAAAAAAATGATCCAAGTCTGCTGGAAATGCATGGTTTGAAAATGAATATAGATGAAGGGGATTTCTCTAACAAGAGAGCTTTCTACTTGAAACCCGCACACAGAGAGAACATAAAAATTATATTTATATTCATGGGGTTTCAGTTTCTCGTAGTGTAAACTTGACGGCTACGCCCACACATACAGTACAGTGTGAGAATAAAGAAACCGTGCGTGACATTCTGTTGTCTCAGCTATTTTATCTTCTATTAAAAACAAAGCTGTAAAATGTATTTGCAAATGCAATGGAAAAATTTTTTTAGTACTGTAATAATACAAGGCTTTTCGTAAAGCAGTTGATCTTCCTCATCTGTGTTGTACTACAAGTAAATTGTGATAAGTTCTGTTTTGTGGCTTAACTGTAAAATCTGTAAAACTTTACAGACTGTGCTATGCAACTTGGTTTTTAACATAACGCTGAGTTGTGTGAAGAATTTGCTTAATGAAGGTGACAGAAAGGGACTTTTTTTTGTAGAACTACAATAGAAATCCAATCCAACTATTTCCACTAAAAATAAGAGTACAAAACTAAATGCTAAATTGCCTTAATTCTATATACAACATATTTCTCTTTTTCTTTCAAAGTAAAGGCTTTTGACAGTAAAAAATAAAAACCCAATGCCTTTTGCTAAATTCTGCCCCATTTTAACTACTTTTACTACATGTAACAGACAATTTATGTAAAATATCTGGCCAATGAAAGGTTTTGTTTTTCCAAAGAAAACATCTATTGCAAATTACAGAGACAATTAAATCAGATCATAGTCATTGGTAAAAATTGTGTAAGAAAAACCAGCTGATTTCATCGAGTCATTGATTTTGTATTACACACTCCTGCCTGACCATGCATGCAGTCACGGTGGAGATGAAACCCTCCCTTTTAGCAGGAAGAAACCTCAAGCAGAACCAAGCTTAGTGTGAAAGGCCTTCTGCCATGGCCGACCATGTGTTCAAGGGGAAAGAGGCAGTCAAAAAAGCAACATAGAAGCACTAATCCATAAATATATTTTGAGTTAGACCAGGTAACGATGAACTAGCTCCACAGATGACTAAAAACAGAGAAGTTTAAGCAGATGTGCACCAAGTCTGTTTGCATGTCAAAGTGATGAAAGAGAGAACATCTACAGTATTTCGGGGTTGAACTAACAAATACTGCAGAGTGGAAGAATAGAGGTAGAATGAGGCATAATGATGAAAATTGATCCCTATGTCCTCCAGCAGCCTAAGCCTATAACAGCCTAACTATAGAGACAGCACAGGATAACCTTAACCACCAACTATGAGCTTTAGGAAATTAAAGTTTTAAGTCAGTCTTAAAAGTAGACAGAGTGTCTAGGAAATTAAACTGAAATATTTGACATAAAAACTGAATAACTAAATAACAGTGTCTGTCTGTCTTTCTTTAGTGTTTTATGTTCTGAGCCTCTTGGCCACGTGGATTTTGCCAGCCTCCTCGTGCCCCCCTTCCTGTCTCTGCTCCTCAGAGAGCCTTACGGTGGATTGTGGAGGACGTGGACTCTCCTCCCTGCCTCCTGTTCACCTCCTGCCTCCAGGAACACGCTCCTTGCTGCTAGCCAACAACAAGCTTGCCTCACTGGGAGCCACATCCTTTGCTAACTTCTCCTCTTTGGAGGTCTGTTGTCATATATCAATCTCTTTTTCCTAAAAAGTAGTCGCCTAAACTTTCAACATTTTATGAATTATGTTGTTTACTATGTGAGAAATGAAACTTAAGAGTTGAATATTGAGTAAAAAACAGAAAATCTTTGCTCTTAATCCAACAAAATTAGATAAATTAGCTCTTACTGTAAACTGCAGTTCAGTGTTTGCCTGTTTTCACATGGGATCTCTAAATGAGCCGACTCGCTGGCCCTCCGAGAAATCTATCCCACATAGTTGGCATAGCTCAGCTCATTATCAATTAGCACTGTTCTGACCAGTCTGCCAGCTCCTTTTTTACCCCTTAATATGTCACAATCAGAGTCCAGCTGTTGGTCTGAGCCCTTTTTAAGAAGATTGCCCTTGAAGGCTAATGCAGTCTCCATTTTGGACATGGTATTATGCTGGTAACAGTGTGCATTATTTCTGCAGTTCTTGTTTTTTTGGAAAGATATTATGGCACTAGTGTTTGTTGTTTCCCAGTTGATAGGAAAAGAGGCAGATAGGTAGGAGATTATATGCAGTTAAAATCCCTGAGGCCAACTACTATATAGGAGACAGCAAAGTTGAAGACCGCTTTAAAAGTGGATCTATTATGTTCTGGAGAGGAGGAGAGGGATATGCATAGAGAGGTACAAACATCTCTACAACCCATGCATTAGAAACCTGACCAACTTTGGCCATCATTTCAAAATCTAGTTAGACATCAAGATGAACAGTGAATCCTGGAATCCTATTGGTTCAAGAGAATGGCCAGCCTCATGTGATGAGAGCATGTAGGCAGTTCCTGAATAACAAAGGAATTGATTCCCTTTTGACTGGTCCCTACATCGATCTGACCTAAAACAAACGCAACACCTCTAGGATATTAGGTAATTGCCTCTTTAACTGTATTAGGAAATACAATTAAGGCAAGGATGCAATGGCTAGATTTGCTTGGATTTAGAAATCCAAGCAAGAAATGTCTCTTTTAAGTAGTTTTAAAAATGAAATGTCCTCAGTGAAAACTTTAACCCAAGAGGAAATATCAAGGCTGAAGCTGACAGTTTTAAACCAACTGTTCTGAGAAAAATCCAGTTGTACGTTCTTGGCATACTAGACAAAATGAGCAAGTGATCTCCTTTCAAGTAATGTTTTATTAGTAACTTTAGTACTGGAAAGAGAAACAGAACATGTATATTTTCTTGTATTTTAGGAGCTGGACCTTTCTAATAACTACCTGGATAATTTACCAGCTGGGTTGTTTAGAGACATGTCCAACCTGACCAGACTGACTCTGCACAACAACTCACTAACAGTAATGGACAGAGACCTATTTCAGGTGAGCAATGAACATTATTCAGGAGTTTTTAGATTGAAAGGATTGCTTTGATACAAAAGATAACTGCAATGCACTGAAATAAAGTTTAAAATCACTTTGTCAAATCACCAGAAAGATCTCAATCAAAAAATAAAGAGAAACAACTTCTGTTATAACTTGGACTTTATTTCTTTTTCGGCATCTCTGCTTTCCTTTAAGACAACTTTATCATGACTAACACAAACAAAAGGATGGTCTACGAAGATAAACTGCACCAGCGGCCATAAACCGGTGCAATGGAAAATGGTAAACTTCAAATTAGGATGAAACTACTTTCATTCTCTTCACAGGGTTTAGGCAGCCTTCAGAGCCTGGATTTATCATTGAACGGTCTGTCCGCTATTCCCATAGGCTTACTGGATGAGCTTCAGCACCTCAGGTAAATCTATGCCACATTCATTATTTCATAAGCTTACACAAACTCATTTAGGCCATTACTGTATGAGCACTGCAAGAAGATACCTGGTTAGGCCCAAAATATGTTATGACGTATATAAATAATGTATATTTTTTAAAATATACATTCAGCAGTCAGTTAGTGCTGATATTTTTGCAGTAAATAAAGGTTCTGAATCTTTCCTCAATGCCCCAAAGTTGCTCTATTTGACATAAACCTAATGACAATGGAAAAATGAGAGTGACCTTATAATGTTTAAGTTACCAATTTTAGTTAATTTAAGCTTGTTGAAATCATCTCTCTAAAAGTAGCAAACAGAAGATAAATGATATAAAAAATTGAATTTTAAAAATCCCTTTATTGTCCTTCAATGGGGAAATTCTAGTGTTTACAGCAGCAAAAAGATAACAGAAAAAAATTGTCATATAAATGTGGACCTTAGAAAAATGTATAAGAATAACATAATAGTGAAGAATTAAAACAAATAATAAAATACTGTACTGTAAAATGTTTTAACAATATAAAACTCTGCATCTGGAGAATAAAATAACCAATATACAGCTATGGACATTTTTACATTAATGGAAATTATAAAATAGCAACATCAGATGTGCAAAATGACAGCAGCATGTTATTTAAATGACTAAGATAGAAACTGTGCAAAATCAGCATTAATGTAAAAACTTATTGAGGCTGTTGGGAACAGTGAAGTTCCATAAAGACTCAAAGTCTTACAGCTGCTGGGAGGAAGGATCTGTGATAACGCTCCATGGTGCATTTAGGGTGCAGCAGTCTGTCACTGAAGTAGCTCTCCTTCCCACCTGCTGATCTCAATGCCAGTACTCCAACAAGGAAATACACTGGTCATACAGGATGAACATGGTGAGCAAAAAACTCCTGTAGACTGTGGTATTCACATGCCCTGTTGGAATAAGGTTGCTAAAAGTTCAGACAATTTCTCCAGATCTCCAATGAAATAGTGTGGATCCATGCTTCCAACATGAATCAAATCCCGACTACAGAGTTGGGACTAGGTTTAAAACAGGATAATTTTTGTTTAGAGGTGCCAACATGGATAGAAATGATCTCTGCAGATTACCCTCATAAACTATCAGTGCATACATTAGTCTTAGGATGGTTAACATTTTGTGTAAAAGCTGTCCAACTCTTTATGCACACCATCTATACAATAAAAGTGTTGTTTTCTAAAACTAAAACTAATTTTTACTTATAAAAGATACAAGTAAACTCCCTGTATGTCTTTGAAAGTGTCTTTTTGGTGTAACCAACTTCTATGAATTACTGAAAAATACTGTTCACTATGAAAAAGGTATTTTACTGTCATCTTGTTTTTTATTGATGTTAAGGTATAAGTACCGTACATGACTTGCATAGTTTGACTCACAGTCTTTGATTTTTACATATGGGGGATGAAGTATGAAGTACCATCAAGTCAATTTTAAAACTACTCAGCAAGTTATACCACATACATATGTAGATAATTGTTGGTAGCTATCATTTAATGAAGGAAAACCCCACCGTGGTCACAGAAATAAGTCTGATAAAGTAGTCATAAATAAAAGTTATAAGGAAATGTATAAATGAAAGTCAGAAATGGAATTAAAACCATGCTTAAACATAATAAAAAAATAAACTAATGAAGCAGGCCTGTACAAAAATGACGTTACCCTTTGCTTAATATTTTGTTGCACAACTTTTTGAGGCAATCTATGCAAACAAATAATTCCTGTAAATGTCAGTGAGACTTCTGCTCCTCTCAGCAGGCATTTCGTCCCACTCCTCATGAGCAGACTGCTCCAGTTGGCTCAGGTTTGACAGACAGCATGTTGCAGCTCCTTCTAAAGATGTTGAATAGGATTTAGGTCAGGGCTCATAGAAGGCCACTTCAAAATAGTCTTGGGTGTTTTTAGCAGAGTAATTTGGATCTTTATCCTGTTTAAAGACCCATGACCTGCGACTGAGACCAAGTTCTTATACTGGGCAGCACATTTCTCTCTAGAATCCATTGATACTCTTGAGATTTCATTGCATATTGTAACAGAGCCTCCTCCATGTTTCACAGTAGGAAGTCTTCTTTTCTTGACATGTTTCATTTTTATTCTATAAGTGAACATAGAGCTGATGTGCTCTGGCAAACAGTTCAGTTTTTCCTCTCATCTGTCCATAGGACATTCACACAAAAGATTTGTGGCTTGTCAACATGTACAATCGTTCCCCTTCGCTTTTCTATTTAAACTACAAAGTTTGGCTATATAAGTATAAAGAAAAATTGCTGTTAATTTTTTTATTTATTTTTTATTTTTTTAAGACTTGATAAAATATTAAAAGGTACAGTTTTTGAAAGACCCACCCTCTCCACTTTAAAAAAAAATGCACATGCACAAACCCTGTACTCGCTCCCGAGAGGGAACGTCTATGAAACTTGCAAGAGCATGCACAAGCACATTTGTCCTTGTGCACGCTGTTTAAAAGATGCTGTTTACAGCTCATACAGGCTTACTTTCCAAAATAAGATTTGCAATTTTTCCACTATATCAGACTCACCACAGGGAAGTGAAAATGGGGACAAGCACGTACTGTAGGACGGCCTTACATAAACATATCCCCAGAATGATTGACAATTAGGAGGACCCACTATACCTTAAGGGTGTGGACCATATTAATAAATTAATCTAGTGAGACTTTTATGAATAATACATATTTAGATTGACATAGCCAAAAGTGTGCAGGCCTACTGGGCATTTGCTAAAGTAACTTTTAATCCCCCTGATCCTATTATCTAGTATCAAAGCTGAATTCAAAACTTGTCAGACCAACTACCTGCTTTACAAACCATATCAATCGAGTTTCTTTTAGCCAGTTTGGATTTAGCCCTAGTTTCCATTATTTAGCACAACAACATGACCGGTAGTGTGATCTTCTCCTGCTATAGTCCATCTACCTTCAGATTGTTTATTGTATTCGTCATCTGGTGGAAGGAGTGAATATTTTTGCTGCTGCATTTCATTCGTCTCCGAAATTTTTTTTTAAATCCCTCCTCCAAAAGCCAATGATGAAATGTTGTAGTTGGAAATCCCATCAGATCAGCAGCTTCTAAAGTTCTATGAGCAGGAAACAACAATCCAACCTTGCAAGTCACTTATGTTACCTTTTCTTCAGCATTAACTCGTCTAGATGCCTAAAATAAAGTTCATGAGTTGCTACTTTTGTCAGCTGAATAGTTGAACAGGGTATAGTTGGGTGTCTGACTATAGCTTTTTTCTATTGAAGTGCATGAAAATTAAAGAGCTTTAGTTTTAAAGAAAATCTGGAGCTAATTGTCTTGGGTTTTGGTGGTAGCAGTGTAACTGATGTCACCCAATAAAGATAATTTATTAGCCTTTTCTAAAGAGTATAAATGGATCATATTTTCTATTCAGTTAGCAGGACAAGGTTGACCTGATTAAACTTTTTTTTTTTTTCATCCTCTCGTCCTTCGAAGGTGGCTCTCCCTGGTAGGTAACAGACTTCATGGGTTGGAGAGGGCAGCATTTGAGCCACTGGCCAACCTGCAACACTTACAATTGGGACAGAACCCATGGGAATGCGACTGCAACCTTCGTGATTTCAAACACTGGATGGAGTGGCTGGTGTACCGAGGTTGGTTTTTGATTTATATTCCAATGACTTTGTGCTTCGTATTAGATTTAAGGAGGCAAAAGAATGCTGAAATAGTAGTCTATAAGCAGGGAATACTCAAAAGACACAGGTGGAGGCTGTGAAAGCCTTGACTTTCATCTATTTTCCTTGGCTACATTCGTTAATGTGAATTACAGCTCCCATTGTTTTTCTGCATGCCTCTGCAGGCTGTTAGTACATCAGATAACCACAGCTGCTCTCTGCTCTTATCGTGTACAAATTTCTATTCACCTCAATGCCTGAAGCCTCAGCTGCCCTGCTAATGAAGCATTTCTTTTTTTTTTTCCTACTCAGTTCTTCTGTCTAACTGAGCTCCACTCTCGTTCTGTACAGCACTCTTCAGACGGAGACGTGATAATTCAATAGTCATGAGAGCAGAGAAGAAAATTACAAGGAGGCATTTCGTACTTGAACAATAAGCATGTGGCAGCAGCTTCTCAGGATAGTTGATGCAGAAAAAAATTGATTCAGGAAAGTGGGACAGTGAAATTGTGCTTATTTTTTCAAAGATAAGCATTAAGCTGCAACACATTTAGGGAGAGTCTTGTACAGGGGACTTACTTCTTTCATGCACTATGATAAAAATAATCAACCAAAGGTTGCATTGGCTATTTTAACATTCAACTTTTAGATGGCCACCAATTGTGGAGGCTCATGCAGGATATGAAGAGTAAAGACTCTATTCTCACCATTCAGAGGGAATTAGGGACTCAGATATTTTAAAGACTGCGCAGCAAAGCATGTCATATTATAAGTGATAGAAGGACTTGGCTGAGGCGATCTCGAACAAAGCATAAGGTGAATATTGCACCATGTAGGACTCATAGTGGAGTTTGAACAAGCACCTTTCAGCTTTAGTTTTTTTTTTATTAGCATTGCTTTATATGCAAAAATAATAATAATTTTTGTCTCCTTAAGGGGGTAAAGTGGATGCACTGGAATGCACACTACCAAAGGATCTGCGTGGGAGGGACATACGGAGCATACCAGTGGAAATGTTCAACTACTGCCTCCAACTTGAAGATGAGAATGGAGGTGGTTCTGAGGGTGCTCGCTCTGGACAAGGAGGCGGTCCTCCATGCAGCAGGAGTGCTCTTAACCCAAGTGGAGCAACACCGGTTTCTGACAACAATGGCAGCCCTGGTGTTGACTCCCCATCTACAGCAGGTGGCGGAGGCGGGGAGGCCTCCACAGATTGTGTACGTGCCCGTTATAGACCTGTGAGTGTGCGTCGGGCCATTGGCACAGTGGTAATTGCTGGAGTGGTGTGTGGCATTGTTTGCATCATGATGGTAGCCGCCGCTGCTTATGGCTGCATTTATGCTTCTCTGATGGCCAAGTACCAGAGAGAGCTGAAGAGGCAGCCGCTAATGGGGGACGGAGAGGCTGATGGGGAGGACAGGGAAGACAGACAAATCTCCTCTGTGGCCTAAAAGAGGGATGCGACAGGAGAACTAGCAAGACGTGAAGGTGAAGGTCAGAGGGGATTAAAATTAAGGGCTCAAGGAGGAAAAAGATGAAGATGTTTTTTTTCCCCCTACTTGTCACAGACATTATTGTATTGCTCCTTTTTTACTCTCATACAGACACCTTTTTCTGATTTTTGTCTTCATTTCCTCATCCTTAATCTATTTTTAACCTCGCCCAGTATTGCCCTTCTTCCCGGCACACTCCCCCGCACACAATCCTCATCTGTTCCCTGATTTCTTTTTTTTTCTCCAATTTTGAAAACATTTTGTTTAACGTATTTGTTACCAATTATTCCTCGGAGTTGCCGGCCAGCCACCCACTGCAGCTAAATTTGTAATTGAATTGGCTAGGAAAAAATAAAGACAAATTAGCTTTTCCCTTAAACTATGAGACATATTTTGTGTTATGAAGCACTGTTGCTGCATGGTCAGTCTGTATTTGCAAATCTAGACTGAAGATTCAGGGATTCACAGCATGCATGGTGTTAACTGGACCAATGTCAATGATTAGTAATATTTGTGCCATCTTTCAACTTCTACTCTACAAAGCCAGTGGTTACTCAGAAAAATCAGGATCCAAATACATTTAATAGTCCACGTTTGGCATAATTTTTGGACAATTTTTCTCTTCAACCTCTGAGACTCGGTATGACTGATCTCAAGAAACTGCATTGAGATTTATGTTAAATCAAAAGGACAGTTAAAATGCTTGTGTACCCTGATGGTACATACACTTTTCAGAAAAGAATCAAGAATGTGAAAACTCAGAAAAAGAAGGTATGTCTTTAGTGTCAATTTATGTCTCTCTACCAAAAGTCACTGCTTCTCTGGATCTTTCTGGACTAACAAAGATCAACATGCAGAAACAGCATCATCCATCAGATTAACAGGAAAAACACGGTAGCATTAAACTACAATTTCATGCTAATGAACTTGTCATATTCAGGAATAACATTATAGGTATCCCATTATAGGAACATTATAGAACTTTACTTGTGGATTAGTTGTGGACATTAACGGGACTAAAAAAGGTCAGAGGATGTTCTTCATTCACTTAAAGAGGTAACGGTTTGCTACAGAGACATGAGCAACGACCTCAGAGAGCACTGGCACCTGCTAAGGACTACAAAAAGTAATCTATAAACTACAAATGTCAGCCACCTGCACTTTATTTCCCTTATTAGATGCCCTCTGGTTGCTCTCCCAGGCTTTATTTCCTCCTGTACCTTTACAAGACAGATAAGCCACCCAGCCGGATTATACAAAAAAAAAAAAAAAAGCTGCTACTTTACGCCATCCTTTTTTATCTCCTCACTCATCTTTTTAAGCAGAAATATTTGTGGAAGACTTTTCCGCACCACTTAAGGACTTTATCCATTTCCTTCAACAATCAACTCCCTCAGAACTGTTTTTCCTTTTATTTACCATCAAAGGTCTGCAATATGCAATGAAATTGTGTGTTACCAAACGTCATCACTGCTAATTTGATAGGAACACCATTGTGTCATGTATACATGTATAATATTAGTTTTATTCATGTTCTGTTTCAATATCTTAATGCCTTGAAAGATGTATGTGAACAGTTGTTTTAGCTACACAGAAAGTGGTCTAAGTAGCATATATTGCATATTGCTTCCCTGAAGTAAATATCTGTTTCCTTAAATTTTGACTGACTTGGAATGAACCAGTATTATTGGTGTGTTTCTGAAATCTGACTATACTGCAGATTTTATTATGCTAGTCTATTATGATGTGTTGGCCCAGAAATTCCAGAAATATTTTTAAATGCATATGTTTTTTTGTTCCTTGAATGACTCCATAATGTATAGGTCCTTTGTTGCATTGCTGGATTTAGTTTTCGTTTTAGATTTTAATATCACTGCAGTAGCTATTTGTTGTCTTTGGAAAAATGGGTAAAGTTTATTTATAAGAGGCTTAGACAGAGTTTAGGGTGTCAAAGTGGGCTTTATGCTTCCTCATCTATTTGGTCTTAAAACGACATATCTAGCTATAGATAAAACCTACTTACCTGCACTCATAGAAAGGATATGAATTATTCATACGATTGTCATCTGCAGTTTTTGTATCATTTTATGTCATTTAACTTTTATTTGCCCTTAAGTAAAAACATTTATTTTCAATACCATTTATTTGTTTGATTTATGGTCAGCTAAGCTGAATGACCTCACACTAAAATTTGAAATACTTTTTCTTAATGCACTTTTAAAGATATGGTCAAGCTTTATTATAATTATGTGTAAAAGCAAAGATAAATGTTTTAATTTTCATAAAGCTCGAACGAACAGAATGGCCACCAAAGGCTGGAGTTAGTGGGATACCTTATTGAGCGATACGCTACAGGCAGCCTTCTAAAAGCAACTAATGGAATAAATAACATATTTTCCAAGTGCAACCCTAATGACATATTTCAGAACATTGGACTTCATATGTTTATTTTCTTTAAATAAATAAAGGTAAAAGGAAAAACAATCATATATTGGCCTCTGTTGTTGCTTAAATAAAACTATTAATCTAATGCACCATTTTTACTCCAATATGAAGGAAGTATGAAAGAAGTTTCAACATTTAAAATTCTTTAGTAAGGTTTCTTGAAGTAGGAATTTGGAGAAGGGAATTTGAGAATTTCTAGACTTAAAATCCAAAATGACTGTCTTCCATGGAATAGTTAGTGAAACATTGTTAAAAAAAAAAATAAATAAATAAATAAATTGTGTGATACAGATTACATTTATGTAAACATTTTTTTTTTTTAGTTACAGCTAAACTGTAATCTGCTTAGCTATGTTGCAATCAATCGTGGTCAACAGGCATATTTGCATATTTTAGCCAGCATTATACCAGAGGGCAATTGATGTACTATAAAGAACCATCAGCTCTGGTTAATTCCTGAATTTTCTTTGCAGTTTTTCCCTTTACAAAACTTTGAAGATTGTGTTTGAAATGCATATCTTTATAGCTGAAGCTCCTCTAACAGCTAAATTACTCCCATTGTCTTTTAAAGCGAATGGTTCTAGAGTTACTTCAGGGTACTGCTAAAGGGAGCTGAAGAACAAGTAGCGGTAGTTTTAACAGGTAGAAATATATTAGCATGGATGCTGATACTTGTCAAAGTAACAGGATACCCTGACATAAAGCTAATGTGTTTTGTGTTAGCATGAAGCCAAATGGCCGTATTGTTCCATTTCCCAGCTTGCGCTCATCCTCTTTACTAGACAATGTGTTTAGGTCCCATCATGTAAACACTAACATTGGGCCACTGTGATCTCTGTGCACTAAACATGGCAGCCACCTTTAATAAAACTTCCTGGCCTTGTGCCCTTCAGAGATGTAACCTCTGTCAAACACTGCAAAGTGCTACTAATGCATCAAAGCATCCACTGTGTTTGTGATCTTCACATGTTCTGATTATTAGATACTTAGGTAACTTGGGCCCCATGAGACTTATTTGACTTGCCAGCTTCTTCTAAATTGAATTAATTACATCAAGATGACTGGTTTTTCATAAGTAAGAGACTGTGTGCTAATTGGATCCTTCCTCCTCTGCCCTTCACTTTTTGGCTGTCAGAAAATGTGCAAAGAAAAGTCACGCCTTTATAGTCTGTAGCTATGAAAGGATATTTATAGCCAAAAAGCAAAATGCATTAGCAATACTTTACATGCATCAAAAGATGTACATCAACCAGTTCAGTTGTTGCAACCTACATCAACACAGGTTGATAAATGGCCTATAGTATATAGGATAGACTCTTTCAGGTCAGAAGACTCCAAGTCCACCTTTAAATACTGCGCTTTAGAACAATCCTTTTGATGCAAGTTCAACATTTTGACTGATTAGTGTTCAAACATCACAAAGTAGCCCAGGCTCTGCTAAAAGTGCTTTATATTTTTATTTTGAAGTAAGGTTTGTTGAAACTATGTTCAGTAACAGTTCTGACACCTATACTGGTATTACTCAGTGGTGAGAGGCTAACCACTTGCAACTGTACTTCTTAGCTGAAGTGATCATTCTCAAACGCCTCAAACTGACATGTTCTTCTCTGCAGGACACAAAACTACATTTCAACATCCTAAACATCCACACACTGGCAGGAAAAGGTGGTTTCGGTTCTAGTTTTTGCATTTGCTAAAGGACACCAATCAACAACAACAGGTTGGCTCAGGCTTATGGCTGCATCAGCTAATTATTAGTCCATCAGGATTATTTCCAAAGAATGAGATGGAAATGTACAAAAACCTGCTCATTGTTAGAAAGATATGCTATAAGCATGAAGCTAGCCATACTGCAAACTCAGACCCATGATATCTTAAGCAAAACATATGTATAGGTAAAAAAAAAAAAAGTACATATTTATATACAGTGGTGTGAAATTTTGCACACAAATACACACACACATGTGCACATATACATTCCCCTTTGTCATGCTAAAGATCCCCTTCAGCGATACTAACTAAACTCTGTCTATGGATCCAAAGACATTTTCCGCTCACCCACCTTCAGTAGGTCTTGTTGATGTCAGTAGCTAAGTATCTTTGCTAGCTTAATCCTCTTCCTATAGCTGTGTATAATGAATAATAAATCATAGTTTGTTACATGAACACGACAGCAGCAGAGGCAGCTATGACGACTGAGGGCCTCAGTAACGACACACAGCCCAGAAATAAAGGGTGTTGTGTAAAGATTGTAAAGATGATTGATTGCAATGCTGATGGTAATGAAGCATTTTTCATGGTCAAGACGCTTTGATTTAAATAAAAACATATCACTCCTGGGTCAACTATGTCCATACAAAATTACATTTTCTCATTAAAGTGTGAAGAAATTCTCTTCTCTGCAGAAAGAAATGTCTGAAATTTTCAAATAAGCGATGATTTTAGATTGAATAAATGTCAGACAACCAAGTTTATTCTTTGCTCTTGTCTTTCTATTTCTAATCTTTTTTCTTCATCCTTTTCACTCTGTGATCTCACCTCAATTTCTTTTCCTGTCACCTCCTCTGCCATCATTTTGTTTTCAATAATTTAACCTTTTTTCTTTAACTGAATTCTTTAGGCCTTATTGCATGTCTTTTTCAATTCCTTTTTATTTGCTGCACCCCCGCTTCCCCTGATGCATCCGTTTCTCTTAAATATTTTTGTCTTAGTGCCCTTGTATGGAGTAGGGGGATATTTTTTCACATACAGCTTGACTTTTGTGTTGCCGTGATAAACTAATCTGGTTTTGGATCATCCTGCAACAGATGCAACCACTGGCCTTCATTGGAGAAGGTTAAATTAAATCAACAACCAAAATAGCATGGAGGTTTTAACATGGAAGGATATAAAGACATTAATAACAGGCCCTTTAATGTTCAGAAAAACACTGACACTATGTGGTCACGAAAAGAACCACAACCTAAATCAGATTAAAAAATGTCCAACAATGAAAGTAATTTTTCATCATTCTAAAAAATGTTCAATATTGTTCCTGGTTCAGTTTTATGGCTAAAGACCTATTTATTTCCATAACCAAAATTTAGGAACGAAGCAAAAGTTTTGGTAAACAACAGTTGAAAACTACCAATAATTATGATGGTGTGTACGGGACAAGGAAATCTTGTAAATGTATGTTATTAGTAAAAAAAACAACTAAAACAAAGTAGCTGTAGCAAAGCTGCATCATAAACTGAGTTAATATTAATACTTCTCAAATGAAGGGGACAAATTGGGGAAACATGCTGCCTAGTGCATTATGTTTGATACCTTCAGACCAGAACAAAAGTAATTTCCCTCTGGGATTATTAAAGTATTTCTGATTCTGATCCCTATGGAAGAACCTCTAAACCTCTAAAGCAATCATTAAATTAATTATTCAAGTGGTACATGAACACTAAAACTTTATATCTGATCCATCCAATTGCCATTATGAAAGTGCATAACCATGCATCACTGCATTCTTCCTAAGAGAAAATGTCACAAGAGTATTTTACTTTTCATACGTGGAGTGGTGTGCGTGTCAAAACATTTTGGGGCAAAGTTAAGACACTTGATCCTTTGGTTTCTCTATTGTTTTGCCCCCAAAAAGTCATGTTGCACTAATGCTATGCGTGTTTAATTGATTCAGTCCAATCACAATATAGATGCAGTCAAACACCTCATTAATTTGGCTCAGACACTCGGAGGAAAACAAAAAAAAGCAGATGAATCTACATGTAACTCACTACAAACTTCAAACACAAGCAAATGGGTTTTTGCAAATAGAGGACACAGAAAGAAACAAAAAGAAACTAGCATATTCTAAGACCCATGTGCCGTTTACTCCCCAAATGTGGGACCTTTCCTAGTTATAGTAAAAATGGTGACGGTGGTCATTTTTCCTTAGTTTTGAGGTGCTCTTTTATTTATCTAAAATATTTAATTTGTTATGAGGCTGTCACTATAGATTCTCAGTCATCCAGGCAATGGTCAAGTTTGAAAAAGATTGGTCTAGGCAAGTGGACGTTAAGTTTTCTAGAAGACATTTTGCGTCTCATGCAAGAGGCTTCTTCAGTTCTAACTGGTGGTGGGGAGGACTGAAATGTATATACTGTAGGTCTAACAATGAGTTAGGAGGGACAAAAGGTGGCTTTGATTCCTCCCACTGGATTGGCCAAGGAGGTCACATGACTGGATGAAATCTGATCCTAACAACAAAAAGGTATACATTTCTGGCAGGGTATGATAAATGCCTCCCCCACACATATTAGCTGCATAGAGAGTGTTTAAAGCTAAATAGTTGAATGCATCTTATCTCAGCATGCCATTAAGTCGACCACACATCCATAACCGCTGAAACATTTCTAGTAAATATTCCTTTTCTTTTCTAACAGTGAAAAAACTTAATCTTTTAAAGTAAGAAACTAGCGGCCCGGAGTGAAATAATCAAAAGTTTCCCCATTGTGGGACAATAAAGAGATTTTCTATTCTAAATAAGGATTTTTTTTTTGTCGTTAAATATAGTTGGGAAATTACTCATCTACAATGAAAAACATTTTATCATAGAGTTTATGGCTCAACAAATGTTTCAGCTTCAAATGTGCTATTAGAGGTCTTTTCATTTCAAATATCCTTGTACCCAATCACTAGAACTTGTGTACATCATTTACTGCCTGGACTTGATGAAAATTGGAAAGTTGTGACAGCTTTCGTCCATCAGTTTAACCATGTACAGTTCAAAGCAAGTTTGTAATTTGAAGTAATGTTATACCACTGATAGAAGGAACTAACTTCCATAAACACAATCCCAATATCTCCAACACATATAAGCCTAAAGTTCTGAGGAGTGTAAATCAGCTCAGTAAGCAGAGTAGTTAGATGCTGAAAAAAAGAAAAAAAAAGATTGCCATATTTAGACAAAGTACAGCTTTTTTTGTTGTGTGTGCTTGTTCTTCATTCAGTCAGCTTCTGAATGTTTGATTTCCTTTTTGTTTTATACACGAAAACCTCCTTAACTTACAGCAGTGAAAAACAGAAGCAGAGCGGAAGTTTAGAGAGGGACATGACAGAGAACGGAGAGTAACAAGAGGAAGAGAGGCAGAGCAAGATCTGCCAAAGTGAAGAGAGTTAGGTCTGACAGTTTAGCTGGAGAGGCAGAGAAAGATGCTTGAGTGGGTTTAAAAGGATAGTGATGCATCTGAATCTACAAAGGGGAAAGGATGGGGTGGGAAATAACGAGGGTTAGACAAGGAAAGATGGCTGGAAGGACATTAAAACAGAAAGACGAATTTAGGAGTACAAGAAACAATGATAGGTAAAAGATTAAAGTAAAAGATTGAGGGGCATGCCCAAGAAAAGAAATAAAGGAAGGAAGGAAGGGACAGAGAGAGAAAAGAGCAGTGGTGCAAAGATAGACAATATCAACATAGGAGATAAGTAATGCTACACTCAAGGAAGTTATGGAAGAAAGGGAAAATAAAGAAGTACAATAGATTGAACTACCACATTTATACAATAGGGAATAAAGTCTGAAAAAAATCCCATAGAAAACATTTCAATGGCATTACAGGCAAATGCTTCTTCAGACCATTAACCAATCTGTAGCACAGAAGCCAGCTATTGATATACGAACAATCAATGAAGGGCCAGCAGCTTCCCACTACTTAAAGAAACAGCAAATCACAAAGTGTTTTATAACTAAAATTAATGTTAAAAAGATTGTTTTGATCTGACAGGAAAAACAAAAATGATTAATTTAGAACAACATACCACCATCCAACTTACTATATACCTTAATGATTATTTTAAAGACTACTGTACTATTACTGTTACTCTCATTGTGTTGGTATTCATACTCTACAACATAATCAGGTCTCAACGTTCCAGTAGATTGAACCACTACAACCAAAATATTTCAAAAAAATTGCTTCTCTGCCATAGTTTCACCTGCTTTCATCTAATCTAGTGTTTTGTTTTTTTATTATTATCTGGTCTTCAAGAGAGAATGCCCTGCATGTATTAAAAATTTCCTTGCCATAACTCAGCAGTGTGTTGACTCTTACTTCAGAGGAGTCATCATACACACCCTGGTAAAGATTAAAATGTCATGCAGGAACAGAATAGAAAAAAGAAAAGCATACCATAAAACAGAAATATAAACAATAAAAAATAAATTTAAAATGTACTTTGCTTGCAGTTCCTCTCCTAGTATCAAGTGATTTGCATGTCTAAACATTATTGTGAGAGCGCTCAAGTGTGGGTAATGTTTTTCATATTACCACAACTTTATCTTTTTGAACCAAACCAAGCAGAAAAAAAATCAAGCAATGACAGAAAAAAAAAAAAAAAAACTAGCGACTCAGTCCAAGAAACCAGAGCCCTGCTGAATGTAATCTTGCTCCTATTTTCTCCCATTATTTTTTAGAGACCTTCCTCAGCGAGGAGTTTAATTTCTGTAATGTAAGGAAATCTGGCAGAATGCCTCCAACTGAGCCATTAACATAACAGAGCTACTATCTTGCTACTGCAGAGCACATACAAGCCATTTTAAGCAAAGCCGATAGATTGCATTAACAACAGTCAGGGACTCAAACTCAATGCAGCTCTAAGTATAGTCAGCTTTTAAATGTACAGAATGTCTAGACAAATACTGGACCTACAGTGAAAATCCTTGCACTGAACCTAGTGAGCTTAACGCTGTGTGGTACTGGCGTGTCACCAGTTAAACTGACTTGCAAGCACTGGAATCATCACATGCATATCGTATTTTCTGGACTCCTCTCAAAGTTTAAATATAAAAACTCAACAGGATTATGTAGGAAATATGTCCCGAAATTCAGCACCTTTTAACCAAACACTTTACAAGCTCACATACATGTGGTTTCAGGTTACATTATTCTTTTTTCCATTTTATTATTCTTACTACCAACCAAACAATTTCTCATTTTAACGTTCGAGGAAGTAAAACTGTTGCCCTACCTCCGGCAATGGTGGTTTTCTTTCCTACTGTCACAGTCACAGCAGTGGCGCTAATCACAATTCTTCCTGCTGATAGAATAAGAGAAAAAAAAATCTTAAAAAGGAAATCCGAGAAATGTTCAGTTTTATGCATTAGACCAATAAATGCATGCATTCTTCTTTTGCATGCAGACTGTACATGCATGTGCAATACAGATTTTTTTTAAGGCAGCATTAGATACTTTTGGATGAAGTATTTGTTTAGCCAAAATCTAAAAAGTGTGTGTGGCAAAAGGACTTGCATTATGCTAAATAACATTAAGTGGATTCATGCATTTATTTTGCATCTGTTTGCAGCCTTCAGCAGATGCCGACAGCTACAAAGCCTCAGAATCCAGTCAGATTACCATTTCTAGTGTTACATAACTAGGATTAGGAGAGTTAATTTAATAACATTCACAACCAAAGGAACAATTTTGGGCATTTTAGGAGTCCATGTGGCCTCACTTCATATTTTCTGTAAACAACTTTTTTGATAGACAATATGCATTTGAAAACAATCTCTGGCACTGTTCTAATTAAGATTTATTTGAAAAACAAAGTAAAGATTTGTCAAATTGAAGCAACAAACAATCTCTGTCTAGCAGATGATCAGCAGGTAATCGTTCTAATGTCATGCTCTGTGAGTGGAAAACCAAATTAAAAAAGGAACAGAGCAAAGCTGAAAATAAACAAGAGCAAAGAAAAAACAGGGAGAGGCTAGGATATAAAGTGGAGGCATGCCAAGTATAATTAGCAGTTCTCTACCCTGCTCTTCAACATGGTCGTCCACCTCTTCTGAACTGAAGGTGGTGCTATAGTCAGCCTCATAGTCCCTGAATAAATCTGAAAGATCACACTTCCTTTTTTACCAATGCCCTAAAACATTTAAATCTATTTCAATATTTTTCATTAATAATAAATCTGAATTTGTATAAAACAAACAACCTGAGAAGTGATTATGTTTAAAAAAAATAATTTTATAATAAATAAAATCTGCTTTAGGTTTAAAAAAAAAATAATTTTATAATAAATAAAATCTGCTTTAGGTTTAAAATCTATTTAAGATAACCTTAATAGTCTTTCTTTAAGGAATTTACAGTGCCTTGCAAAAGCTTATTATTCACATTACAATTACTAATGTCCAAGTATTTTGTGTTTGTGAAGTAAAAGGAACTGAATATTAAATTTAAAAACTAAGAAGTTAAACTTGAGTTCTGTATATAAGTAGTCAGTGTTCCCGAGTCGACACTTTCTAGAATTACCTTTTGTTATTATTACAGTTAAATCTTTGGGAGCATGTCCCTCCCATTCTTGCAAACCCATCGGATTCTCATTTTTTACCCATTTTTCTTTTTAAAAACAACATTCTCAGAGGGAGCCATTAAGATTAAGTTTCAGTTGTTGCCACAATTATCAACTGAGATTTCAGTCTGGTCTTGGACTAGACCAACTCTAATGAAAGCATTTCAGTTTCTCTGACAATTTTCCATCCATACTAAAGTCGTTGATAATTTAACCACATAATCTAGCATTTTACCACTACCACTGTGTTTCACTATGGGGATGGTGTGCTTAGGCTGAGCTGAACTTCCCTTTTTTTTTGTCAAAAATCTGGCATGTAGATAAAATATATCTTTTGGTCTCACCTGATCAGATGTCATACTGAGTGTATAGAACACAGCACTTATGCAGACATTAAAATAAACAGTATTTCTATAATAGAATAACTTCTGAAGGTAACTGCTTGTATATGGTCTGACGTATAAAAAAGTTTGTTATTTGTAGGAAACCTCACAGGTATTTTTGTTTATCATGAGATAAAATATGAAAAAGTTTTGTTTTATCCCAGGGATTTTAATATGACCAATTTTAAAATGTACACATACATCTAACTCTCTTTGAGTCAGATCATCATAAAACATGCATCATTTGTTTCCTTTGCAATCTGCTGTCAAATTAAGTATGATGAGATCATCAAGAAAATGGAAATCTTAAAATTGCATGAACAAATAACTTCCCTTTGATAGTGCCTACATATATGCCCATATAGGCAAATAAATTAAAAAGCTGTAGGGTTCTAAACGTTGCAGTAATACATTTAACTTTTTTATATTGGTAAGAAAATATTTTTGTATAGGTAAGAAATACAGAAATGATAAATATTGAGATGTATTCCTTGCGTCATAACTGTAAAGAAAAAGGCCAGCCCAATACCTCTTGTATCCTGTCTGGGCATGTAGTACAAAAACTGTCCTGCTGGGTACTCTGCTGCTCTGCGGTACCACACTGGGAAATGGTCCAGTGTGAACATATTCTCCTTATCTGTGGAGGTCAGGAAAGACCTGGAGACACAAACAGATGATTAAAAAGATTTGGTACACACCCCCACTGCAAAAAATGCTTTCCAAGAAATCCAACCAGCAATTTTATGAACATTTTATACAATTTTATGTACAAATGAAACTAATTCAATCAACATTAAAGCAGTTCTAGATGTTGAAATACAGCAGCTTAAATATGCAAAAGTATGACGCTTAGTCATTAATTTCTTCCCCCCCCAAGAAACCAAAAATTAGAACCATCTAAAAGTGTTATTTCCAAAATACTTACTTGGGGAAAATGTTTTAATTCGCAGGCAGATGCCAAAATATATCTGACCAAAAAGTGACAAGTGCTATTGCTAGTACTTTCCTCTTCCATTTCTGCTTTACCTTAAAGCAGCTACAACTCCAAAAAAAATAAATAAATAAATAAAAAGTGCTGGATGTGTAAAAAGTTTAAAATGTAAAACAATGATTGGATTACCTCTATATCTGTTAAAAATTCCCCCAACTAAAATTTCTACAAATGTCAGGTTTTAAATATGGAAAGTGCAAATATCAAAGAAAAAAGGCTAAAATGTCCAATAGATTTCGTTCCACTTTATGATTGTGTCCTGCTTGTTGTTAATTCTTCACAAAGAATTAAAGTTTTTATTTCTTTGTTTTTGAAGCCTAAAATGTGGCAAAAGATCAAAAAGTTCAAGGGGGCCGAATACTTTTGCAAGACACTTTCGATGGGTGGATGGATAGGTTGACTGTAAGAAAATGTAAAAATAAATTGATGTAGAGACAATTTTTGGGTAAAAGTATAGAAAATAAAATAGGGAAGTAAAGAGTTTTCCATATCTAAAGCTTTTTAATAGTTACTCAGGCCTGGAAAGTTAATCCGAATCAAGAAAATTGCCACATATTTCGAGACTATCTCGGGACCCAGAATGGTAGCAAGTAGCTTACCAGAAGTTATGTGATCAAAACAACCTCAGTTTGGGGGATCAGAGAAAGAAATTAATAGAGAAGCCAAAACATGTCTGACTGCTGGGCAGATATGCTTTTAAATCTGAAAAGCATTATACAGCATGATGTAAACCAAAATAAGTGCTTTAATACTCACTTTCCAACTCTTTTTTCAATACCACTATACTTCAGGAACCTCTGCAAGCCGGAGCGAGTCCCCAAGAAAGCGGTCTCAATACCATCTTCCACTCTGGAAGAGCAGAAAGGCAAAAACACATGAAAAGTAAAAGGGAGGCTAATGACACCGATAAGGTTAGGTTTATTATAAAAGCATGTAAGAATAAGCCTGGATGCCCAAATCAGTTTTTAAAGAGGATTTTCACGTTTTGATAATTTGTTTTATTCACCCAGATGTGTTTAGCATGAGAGCGGTCCAGTATGCCTCCATAGGAGCTGTAACCACAGCATCAAAAAGAGTCTGTTGCAATAACTGCTCATCACCTGCAGAAAAAGCCAGAAAAAAGCGAAACCATTCAAAGAAAATCACTTTTCCATTTTCCTAGGTAGATAATATTCTTTCAAAGCTTACAGCGCAGATCTTTCTCCTTCCCAGTCAGGTATTTAATCACAGCTTGCAGCTGAGTCAGTTTACGGTGCGCTGGGTCAATATCTATCTCACAATAGGTCCTACAAACACAAAAATGTAGAGATCAGTATTTTAATATGAGGCGCAAGACTTTTCCTTTGAAACAGCCAAAACAAATAGAGTCAGAGATATTTACCACTCATTGGCTAGGGTCAGATCTGGAGTCATTAGATCATGAAGACCTCAACAGGAACACAGGAAGAGGAAACATTCATTTTTAAGGTTTGTTCTGTTTTTCTAAAATAAAAAGCTTTTTATTTAAAACATAACACCTACCTTCCTCTACAGAGACATTTCCTGTAAAGATATACTCTCCATAACCTCGACTCAAGACTATTCCAAGACTGATAAAATAAAAACAGAGAAAAAGATCTACGTATCAAATTAAACAATGGTGAAAACATCAGGCAGGTGATTCATAAAGCATCCATCGATCCATCCATCCATAACACACAAGCATAAACTGGCAACATATGGGTAGGGTAACATAAAAAAAAGAGCTATGAACAATTTTGCAAGAATAACAAATACTAGAGGCAGAAACTAGCAGACAAACCTGAATGGCGTCTCATTTATGACGGTGTAAAAGTAATCATTCTTTAAGAAGATCACTCTCCGCTGCAAAAAACAAAAAAAGAAAATAAACATTTAATGCTATGGAATTACTAAAATCATTATGCAGGTGAGGCTGGACACCATGTAGGCTGAAAAAGCAAAGCTTTATACTTATTAATCCATGATATCAATCCATTTATATGACAAATAAAAAGAGTCACTTAGAATAAAAAGTACCAAGTCTGGAAACAATATAAAATAAGAATAAATAAAACCAGCTGCTTGATAAAAAGGCAAAAGCAAAGAACTTACTCCTTTATCCACTGAAGACCTCACATCTAAAGACAGTGTTCCAGTGTCTCCTTTGACCATGGCTGTCCTTAGCTGGAAACAGAAAGTTAATCAGAGGAGTCTAGCTTAAGCTCATCTTAATACCATTACTTATAAAGTAAAACAAAAACGACACAATCGTGTTTCCTTTTCTTACTTTCACTTCAGTATCTTCCCATTCCACCTCTGATAGATCAACACTGTTATAGTTTGGTTTAGGCTTCAGCTTCTTTCCCTCTTTATACTGTTGCAGCCAAAGAACAGATCAGACACACAGGACTTCACTACTTATGACGCTGGAATAAAAATTCAAAATTCGCTTTAGAATGAGAAGGAAAACTTTGCCTGTACCAGAGGTCGCAGTTCTGGATGAGACAGGATGTAGCCATTATTGGTGATGAGGAAGGCGTAACCATGGATACCGAGCTAGAAGGACAGAAAAGCAGAAAACTCCTTACTGTTCCAGCAATACAGGATATGTTACAGTCTTTCATGATGTAAAATAAAGAGATTAGCTACAACTATAAAACCAACCAACACATTCAGATAAACCACAATACTGAATCTTATGCAAAGACAAGATCTTACTTAACGGCATAAAGAAATACTGCAAAAAAAAAAAAGAAGGGATTAAGACAAAAAGACTCCAATAACGTCACGTTTAGTCTACTGTCAATGATTAGGGGCCCCATTTGGGAAATTTGGCCATCAGTGAAGGCAGCATACTTGAGTGCAAATATATATTGTCAACAGAAACTTTCCATAATATTAAGGTTAACAACAGGTAAAAGTTTTCTATCCAACAATGCTGCAAGGCACAATAGCGTTCAAAGCTTTACAATCAGTCAAATATTACTCAACTACAAGTAAAAGTTACTTGGTCAAACATTTACACAAGTTAAAGTACTCATGTTTGAAAATACTAGTATTCAAAAGTACATAGATTTAAAACTACTTAAGTATTCAAAAATACAAATAAAAATAAAAAAAAACTTTCAGAAACCTGATGTATTGATTCATAGAACCAATTGCTACAGATTCTAGACAAATGGGCTCTATGCACAGCTCCACTACTTCCTGAATTTAAGGCAGCTCCTTTGTTTCCTGTCTTTCATGATTGGAA